CAACCCAAACTTCCAGGTACATGACGGGACACCTTGCTTGTTTTTGTTGTTTGCGCTCCTCTGGCAGGTGGAGGGCAGTGATCCCTTCCCTTCTTCCCTCAATCTTTGAGACTAATGTAAGTAGAAGACATGGCACTGTAAATGTTCGAACATTTAAAATATTATACCACTTAAAAATAAGAAATATTACTTTTGTTACTAAGAGGTCATACTTATTATACCTGTGTCACCTTTCACACTATCGCTGTGATCATGAGCTATGGGCTTTGTAGATACAGGTCCCGGGGTGAATCGTGGTGTCTCTTTTTGACCACAGGGCGATGCACGAAGATGGTGGGTATAGCCTCTGCTCTCAGCCTAGTCTTGCCCTTTTTTGTCTTGACAAACTGGTCTGCTTCAAAATGTGCCTGCGGAGTGACTTGAGGTTACTTCACACACAGAACAACTCAGTTTTGTCTGCCCACATACATATTCCATAGTGGTTGAATACACAGTATTAGGAAACACTTTATACTTACTGGACATGTTATACTCATTACATACTGTATATACAATATGACCAAGAATGTGAGACAACTTTATAGAAATTCATATCACATATGTTACTGATGCCATTTGTCATACTTTGTTAAACTCACAAATAATAAAGTTCCATAACTTCAGTTGGGAACAAAGACCACACCTTATCTCCCCAAGGCAATTTCCCATCCAATAGGTGTGCTATATAGGTGTGTATAACCCTTTCTCCTGTCTGTTTATCCCTCTTTCAGCACAAGAACCAGAGGGGGATTCAATGGAGCCTGAATACCTGCACTGAGACCCTCACCCTGCACCCTGAGTCTCAACTCTCAGTGTTTTTCAAGCCTTTCCCTGTTTTTTGTATTAAACAAAACATTAAGCTTTCCCAATGGTGTGGTTTTCGTTTTGTGAAAAAGTGCAAATGCAGTGTTTTGTATATAAATCACATATTTTTTTGCTGTTGGTCGTGAAATTGCTCCTGCTTCCTCCGCTCTGTGTCAGTGGGGAAGCTGTACATTCGTACTCCTTTCTCTGAGCGATTGGAGCATCCCCAGGCAGCACAGCAAACCATGGTGGCGACTAGGAGGCAGCACAGCAAACCAGGACAACACGGAGGAAAAGGCACAGACAAACTGCATGATATGCTATTCAATGTTTATTGAATTCCATGTATTTGCAATAGATGTTCCTAAAACAACACATTTAACATCATCTTCATCATCATGCTGCTGCTGCTAGTCCTTTGATAGTCACCTGTCGGTCTCCTGTCCTTTCTGAAAGCCATAAAGATGACATTAGTCATTTAGATAACTTGTGTCCTAAATTACCATGGGATTACTGAAACTACCATGAATTTAAGAAAATGGTAGACATTAATCTAATCTGAATTTTAAAGCATTACTTTAGATCCCCTCCCTCTAAATATATCAATAAACATTAGAAAGTGATGCTCCTGACTACCATACAGGTTTAAGAAGATAATATTGGTTTTAAAGAATTCAAAGCTATAAATAAACAGCAACAGGCTCTTTAACCAAGGCACTGTTAGCCTAACATGTAAACTAGTTGTTCACACTAATCCTAATATTATCACTTAATATTAGCAAATTCTATTAAAACATATTGATGTAAATACATACACATATCGATTTGTTGTATAAATATTGCAAATCAAAACCTTTATTCACTAATAATTACCAAAAATCGTAGTTCTATCTCCTGTTATCAATGCATTCACATTGCCCGCCATGAACTTCCGGGGAACGATCCTCTTCTACATGAACCACGTGACGATAACCGTTTTTGGACTTCCGTTGTCGTAACTCTTCTATTATATGGCTCTGGGTTGTATGTATTCACTTGCTCAGTTCAATCAAATGTTTTCACAGATGCTATTGCTCAATTCAGTCACTTGGAGGGAGTGGTGTTTAACATGTATATATTTTATCTGAACAGACCAGGCATGGCAATCTAGTTAAATGCTAGATTAACCACTAAATTATTTCCCATCATCAGATGATTCAAGAGTACCATTTGCATATATTTTACTTATTGGATTGGATGTGTGCTTTACGTGAGAAGAACAGAGTCCTAACCCTGATCTAAAATAGGGTGTGGTATTCACTCTGGCCCAAGGGAGGGATAGTAGTGAGGTGGGGCTCTCATGCTGGCAGACAGGTGATGTTTAAAAATACTTAGTTCTGCTGTTCCCAGACTGGAAAATGAATGAAACTGAAAGCAATACATTAGGAACCATGTAAAGCAACATTGAAAAAGGCTAAATAGTGTTGTAAGGAGTGTTTTCACAGGTGTTGTAAACGTTTTTTTCTATTTTCAGTTCTGTAATCATTCACCATGTTCGGTTACAAATAAATGCTTTTTCTTGACATTAAGCAGGGATATTTAATGTAATTCAAACAAAATGGATTCATTCCTATTGCACTTTCAATTGCCTCTTTGGTAGTTAATGGATTTTGTACATTTATGATCAGTTATTGGGCAGAAACGCATGCCAAATAAGAAATGTATTAACGCTAACTTAATGTGAAATGTCACTTTATGCCTTAGAACAACTCCCAACCAGTTTGTTCATTTGCAAAGGAAATTCATCTTAAAACCTTTGTTCTTAAAAGTAATGTGTTAAATGGCTCAAAGATAATATAGCATATCTGGAGGGTGCTCTTCTCACCGTAAGACATGGAGTTAAGAACCGTTCAATATGTTTTTCTCCATCTCACAATCATGAGGTAATTGGACTGTTTGGGAAATAAATTGGTTTAGCTTTGCATAACTGCCTCTGACAAAAAAAAAATCATACAATAGAATATTTTTGAATGCTGAAAAGATGTGCACTTCAAAATGATACAAAAATACAGACGCATACACAGTGTCCTCATGCGTACAAAAGTTGACGTATTTGGCTCTACTAAAACGCCCTGAAAATAAGGCATTGTGAATCAGAACGGACGGTTTACTACACTAAAACATACATCAAATTGTTCACAGGCCAAAACATCCCCTTCTGTTGTGTATCGATATAAATCTGTAAATTGAGGAACTTACATCATACAGTGATTGTTTGTTTGTTTTTTATTAACATAAATCCTTTCTCTTGTTTGCTCATTCTATTGCAAAACATACACGGCTCTCATTTAAAACCCAACAGGAACATACTACTGTGACACTCATAAGCTATTGCCCCCGTTTTCAGCTCCCAAACCAAAGCAGCAAATTGACAATAATGCACATAAATCCCAGTGAAAAGAGAAAGTTTCACAGTGTACACCAGTCTCAAATGCAATTAGTTGAAATGTAACTCGACATGCTTTGGAGTCTTAAGAGACAGAGCAGCAGCAAGATGAAAACAAAAAGACTGGCTTAATGTTGGATTGCACTTTTTCAGCAGTTTTCTGTTGAACATTGTAGATAGTTAAAACAATAATACCAGTAATCTTCACACGTCTGCTGCAGTGTCTCAATACAGTTTAAGGCAAAGTGGAGAGAATATTCAGTATGTTATTAACATTCTTCATAATACAAACACACCTCGTGACAAAGTGTAATTATCTTTCCGGTCTAATCAGTGTGTGCCAATGAAGGATTGGGTTAAACATCCTTTTTTTTGTTGCAAAAAATGTGACTTCTTTAGCGATGCTTCTCCAGTGTAAGCACAGGACATACTCTACCATCCAGCCCCGACTTTAACATGCAAACATTATCATATCCAGACGTTCTGAATCAGGTTCATGTCCTTCAGTTTGTCAATCCTCTGGAAAGAGAGGAGCTTCACATTTAGAAAAGCTGCGGCGATCTGCGTGAGGCTTCTTCTTATTATTTTCTTATCTCTGGTCCTAACTGAGGAGGAGGCAGGCCGTCTCTCTCCAACACTTCTGCAGAGTGGTGAACTGCAGATTAAAACACAATTTGTATTTTAGTAGACTCCCTTTTCCCTCAAGTTTGTATACTGTGTTATTTTAATCACATTTCATTTGTTTATTAATTACCTGAGGTGGACGATGTCTCATGACAAAATGTGTACGAAGAGAATGGCCAGGCCAATGTTGAGAAGGATGACCATGCATATCATTATCGTGTTTGGGCCCTTAAAGAGAAGTAAACATGAGACATGAGGGCAGGGAAGGCAGTTTACCATCCTGTGAATGTGTAGAAACCTGAACAGTTTGGAACAATTATTACTCAAGAAATACTTTTGGGTATTTATTTGTACTAAACATGTGTGGTATTATGGGAAACCAACAGATATCAATGTTCAATTGATGATCGAAGCTTGTTCCTTTTTAAGAAGATGCAAATGTTTTTTTAAAAAAAAGGATTTTAGTTGTTAACTTGTCTATTTTTAAGACTGCTGTAATTATATTTCTGAATCACTCTTAAAGGTGGGGTAGGTAATTCACTTCAGAAACACTTTTTGTTATATTCCATGGAATGCTCTTAACATCCCGATAGCAATGAATACATGAAGTGCTTTGACAAAAAATACATACAAAAATGTCATCTGTGGAAGCCGTAGTACTGTAAAAAGCACGACCAATCATCTGAGCCGGCCCGGCTAAAATAACTGGATGGCCTACCTGCCTGTCAGCCTTCTCATCTGTGCACAAACTTATCTCGTGCCCTCATTGGTCTTGTGCGCGTTCGTGCGTGTTGGAGGAGGGGCTCTGTACGGAAGTCTGAAGGAAGGGACAGATTTTCTTCAGCGGCGTACTTTCAAATTCTACCGCACTCGAGCTGGTTTCTCCATTCTTACCTACCCTACCTTTAAGTAAACTCATTTTAATGTACATTTAAAGATAAGTAATGAGATCCTATCAGACATTCCATTGAAGATATGTTATGTTTACACCAGCAGATGTCAGCGTCGAGCCACGTTGCTATCACGCCACCGGGGGGATTCGCTATTTCGCATAACGGAGTGCTGACGTCACATGTCAACACTACGCAAACGTCTCCTTGGTGCCCAATCAGCTTGAAGCCACAGAGACTCTTGTAAAGATGGCGACTGTGGGGCACAGGAGTGAAAACTGGACCCTTTACCGTTATCAAACATAGCTGCTCCAGGGACAGTAACAATTGACACGGCAGCGGGAGCGAAAGCTAATCCACCCGTGTGTCAGCTGCAGAAAGCTGTTCGGTGCTGGGAGCTGTCACTGCGGGCCTGCTTGCTTTTGTTTTCGGTTGTCGTTGCCTTGGATAGCTTATTAGCTTCAACTTGGAAAGCGAATGCTAACCCAGGGCTAGCCTTGTAGCTCCATCGGCTGTTGGGAGCTCTCTCTACGGCTTTCATGGATTGATATGCTGGTTTTATAATAATGTATTGCATTTAGCTATTTAAAGTTTGAATTTTAACTCCTATGACTCGCTTGGATTAAACACTTCAGGAGGAATAAGGGGTGCCGAATACCTGGCATTGCGACACTGTTTTGAGTGCCGAGGCGGAGTGAGTTTACCGTCATGTATTTTCTAACCGGCTGGCCACGGAGGCTGCTTTGTCCGCTGAGGAGTGAAGAGGAGCCGTTCCACGTCCAGCCCAGTTCCCAGAGGTTTTACTTCGCCGTGCTGTCAGAGACCCAGCTCAGCATATGGTTTAGTCGGGTAAGTGAAGCCTGCCTCGCTTCAGTCATACTCAGCTGTACCGACAAAAACAATGGGTACTGTGCTGCTTTCATTTGGGCTTACATGTTGCACATAGTATACCATAGTTACCCTATTACCCATACTGTTCAACCACCATTATTTTTTAATCGGTTGCACTACTGCGTGGCATTCTGGCTGTCTGCCCGACATATTTATTAAAAGGGTAATAAATAAACATGTACAGCAACCATGGTGTCATAAGTGATGAGATGGAGGTAATTCTGAATGTGTTGGCAACCTGTGCTAACTACACACCTATCACACAGGTGACATCCGTACGCATGAGGACAGTGTGAGTATATCCGTATACGTGTGATTCACCGTCATAAAGACACTTGTTTGTGAATGGCATTCCACGTGCGTATTTCCTCCCATTTACTCACTCATTAATGACAAAGGCTGTGTTTAATTATTTCAGTCAGAGGCACTGAAGTTCACTTAAGGGAATGTTCCATGTCAGATAGAAGAAAGGTGTCCACTAGTTGAGTTTTTCTTGTACATTCCGAACTTTTTTTATTTGTATCACTCTGACCCAGAAGGCTCATTGAGTTCAAAGTGTATGGTGTGTTCAAAACAAATACTCTTGACTGCATGGTGACATTTTAACTGGTTGATTATCCCTGGTTGATATTCAGTACTTTTGGTGACATTTTAAGTTTGTATCACTCTGCCTCAAAAGGCTCCTCAAGTTCAAAGATGAAGTAACTATCAGCAAGGGAATTACAATAGTGTTTAAAACAAATACCCACTGACCGCATGTTCAGGCAAGAGATCAAGAGCTTTTAGGCTGCCAGAGTTAAATGATTATGTAAATAACTGTCAGCACATCATTTGATCCCTGCAACTGCAGTTTTTTCTAAATTATAGCATAATACAGAAGCAAAGCTGCTTTTTAAGACATAGTGTGTCTTGATGGGTTATACTCTTCAATGCATCATCTGAAGGCCAGTGTCGACTTGCTTTCAACAAGAGTTTAAAAAAGTAAAAAGTAGTAGTTTTTGGGGTTGTGAGAGGTATGACTAAACACAAAAGGGCCTTGCTCGAAATGCACCCTCATTCAAAAATATTGACCCCTTTAAAGTGCCATGTCAAGGACAGCTGCTTAAAATGATTGCCCCTGAAGTAGCTGGTCTAGAGACAGGATACCTGTACAGTAAGCTGAAGGATAGTGTCATAAACCTGCCATACATAACAGACCAGAATCGCTGTGTGAACAGAGAGAGAATATTACAATTCTGACCTTAGAGAAAAAAAACAAAAGAGAGTAATGGTATAAGCCAGTGTTCTGTCAAAATGATGAATGCTGGTACTGGTTATCTTTTTCGTAAGAGAGAAATGCCAAAAATAATTATTTCTACGAAAAGCTTGGTGTCTGCTGGGAGCAGATATAAGAGGGAACAATGTTTTTCAGGACAAGGGAAACAAATCCTTTGACTGAAAACATTAATCCTTTGACTGAAAACATTAATAAGTAGCATTTAGTGAGTCCTAACCAAAGACTGTTTTAAGGTTTAAAAAGTGGTGCAGATCAATCCACTTCAGAGAATTTAATTGTGCAAGATAATGGCACCTTCCACAGATGAGTTCTCATTTTTACCATTGTTTATATACATTCATTAGATATTGTAACTGCATGACAACGAACATTTCTGGCTGTCGAGCCATTTGTTACTAAGGATTTCCTCTACCTAGACAAGTTAGTAACTTAAATGTTGCAGAATGACTTATGACATGTTGAATGTGTTAGCACTGTTTCCAGGGTCAACACCAGCACCTTGTGAAGTAGAAAAGTCCTCTGACATTCCAAGAAGCCCTGTGCTGTGAGCCCTGTGAATCTCATTTGTTTTTTAAAACCACATATTCTGCAATGCTTATAGCAGTCTGTGTTCTATACAGTTTGTATATTATTTAGGTGTGGCAACAATGGATCGGGGTCACTGTTTATTTCCTGAGGCCCACTCAGGATGTGACCATGTTTTCCTTCCCCTCTTTCTTAAGAACTTTGCCTGTGAGTGTCAATGAGGCGTTCAGGAAAAGGAGTGTCAGGAATGTCGATTGGAGCAACTTCTTCCTCTTCACATGCACCTTTCACAGCTGTTCTATCCATTATCTCACTTCATAGCATGTTTACACACAGGGATCTAGTTGAGGGTTTTGTTTTTCAAATGTTCAAAAGAAGTATCCTCTGAATGAATGTAAATACTATATTCTTCTACATACCAACAAGCAATTAAGCATGTTGCTCAGGTTATTTGTCATATCGGTGATTGTAAATCTGCCATTTCCCATCAGCCATCACGCCTATTTTCTTTAATCCTTCCTATCTATCCTCGACCTCGGCCAGCGCAGCCTCAGCCAGACTTGTTCTGACCGAGGCGCAATCGCTTAATCCGTGTAGCACAGTAGCTTAGCCTTTTAGTCATTCTGCTCTGTCTCCTTACAAGAGCCTGGAGGGAGGTCACCATGTCTAGGAATAGAGGGATAGAGATATTGGTGAAGCTGCATTGATACCATAGTAGGCCTTTTGGGTGCCTGCAAAAATTAGCCACATTGTGTGTGTACATGCTCAGGTTTGGTTGCACTAGTGTGTGTGTGTGTGTGTGTGTAAAGATCTACACTCCCCTGGGATTTATTTGGTTACAGCAGCTGACTGAATTTAATTGTGGTTGAGCAGTGGAAATAGCAATTTAGGAGAACAAGCTTGAGCCACTAGAAACCGCTTCTCTTTTAGGCTAAATGTAAATTATATATACTGGTTCTTTATTTGGGATGTTGTCATGCAAACACAGGTCCTTGCGTTCTGTTTGCAGGCCTGTCTGTGTTGATGAATCCTAGGAGCATTTCAATGAATAGTTCATTCCCTTTGCCATTTACGTTTATTCCAGATTAAGTTTGAGGTATTTGTTTTGCAGTAAATGGGATCTGATATCAATCAATGAATCAATCAATGTTTATTTATATAGCCCAATATCACAAATGTTACATTTGTCTCAGTGGACTTTACAGTTTGTACTAGGGCCGGGACTCGATTAAAAAAATTAATCTAATTAATTAGAGGCTTTGTAATTAATTAATCGAAATTAATCGCATATAAATATTTGACCTGAGAACAGTGAGAAGCAATTTTTTTTCACATGGATTTTAGTATACCATTAGGCGCATTCACACCGCAGTACTTTTCCCACAAAGGTTCATGAGAATTTATTTCATGAGAACTCTTTGAACCTGGAGGTGGATTAGGCAAATGAAGCCACTGACGTCACTTCTTCTTCTGCTTTGGGTTTACTGGCAGGCCGCAAACCACTTCACGGCGTATACTGCCGCCCAAAGTCCCCGGAGTTGGGGACTGGCTTCAGTAGAAGCTGCTGGGAGTCCCAGCAGCCTTCCGAGTAAATCGCCAGAACGCCGACACCTCCTCATCTCCACCGCTCCCATGTTTTATTTTGTGTTGCCATAAATTAGTCTCTCTGCGTTTCTGCGCTGGGCTAATGCTAATAATGCTAATGCGAGGATAATAAAATTCACAAAACGTTTTGGGAGTTTTACGGGGCGTGGTTTGCAATCCGCCCAGCCAATCAGAAATATAGCTCTTTTCTCACAAGAGAAAAAAGTCCCTGCTCTCTAGCAGGGACTTTCGTGGGGGTAAAAAGGTTCTCATGAACAAATTTTAGTACCGGCTCTTTTTGGTGTGAACGCGATAAAAGAGGCTAACGTCCACGCTAGCTGCTATATGTTTTTGTATTGAGGTGATACTTGAGGCTTGATGTGCTGCGGTGATATGCGAATTCCTTTTTGCATAATTTGCATACAACCGTGCTCTTATCGACGCTTCAATCCGTCCGTTTTTTAAAACAACATTTCCCACTGTTGTTCACTGTGGTTTGTTGTTGTCCGAAGTCATGAACGTTAGTTGGTGCTCCAGTATAATCGGTACGCCTGAAACTCATCCAGTGAGAAACGTTCCGCGGTGCAAAAATAAGTGCGATTAAAATGCGTTAATTTTTTTAACGCGTTAATTTTTGTGTAATTAATTCATCTTAATTAACGCGTTAAAGTCCCGGCCCTAGTTTGTACAGAATATCAGTATGACAATACGACACCCTCTGTCCTTAGACCCTCACATTGTACAAGGAAAAACTTCCAGAGAAAAACCCACAGTTTAAAGGGGAACATGGGAGAAACCTCAGGGAGAGCAACAGAGGAGGGATCCCTCTCCCAGGACGGACAGACGTGCAATAGATGCCGTGTGTAAATCGAAGAGATAATACATTTACAACATAGGTAGCCCAAATGTTTGGAAATGCATGTGTGTATAATAGGAAGATGAATCCACGAGGATATCCATCCAGGACCTATGATCCAGGACCACAGCCACGACTCAAGATCCAGGGCTCGCAATCCAGGACTCAGGACCACAGCAACAGGATCAGCCACGACTCGGGATCCCGGCGTAGATAGACACCAAAAAGAAATTTGGGGAAGCTGGGTTATTTGGAACATGAGAGTACAGTACAGAGGGAAGAAGTAAGGTGTCCCCGACAATCTAAGCCTATAGCAGCAAAACTAGGGGCTGAATCTAATCAGCCCTAACTATAAGCTTTATCAAAAAGGAAGGTCTTAAGCGCACTCTTAAAAACGGATAGGGTGTCTGCCGCCCGAACACAGACTGGAAGCTGATTCCACAAATGTGGAGCTTGATAAGAAAAGGCTCTGGCTCCCATTGTACTTTTAGAGACTCTAGGAACAACCAACAACCCTGCAGTCTTGGAACGCAATGCCCTAGTAGGACAGTAGGGTATAATGGGTTCTATAAGGTATGATGGCGCCTGCCCATTAAGGGCTTTGTAGGCGAGAAGAATAATTTTAAATTCTATCCTGTGTTCTATAGGGAGCCAGTGTAAGGCAGCCAGAACAGGAGTAATGTGGTCCCTTTTCCTAACTCTGGTTAGTACACGAGCCGCAGCATTTTGAATCAGCTGAAGCGACTTGACTGACTTCTTGGTACACCCTGATAATAAAGAGTTACAATAATCCAGCCTTGAAGTAACAAATGCATGGACTAGTTTCTTAATGTTATGTAGATGAAAGAAGGCGGTCCTTGAAATTGATTTTAATCCTGATAAAATATAACACAAATATTATTGCAATTGGTAAGGTTCTCTTTCTGTTTCTAACAGGGCAAGCTTTACCAGTACAGGTATCGTTGGCATTATTAAGATTTCATGCTACGAGAGAGACACTATCAGATACCTGAAACCTGCTCTCATGACGGTGACCGGGTACGAGGTGTAATGTTGCTCAACTGGAATTACATAAGATCTTTCCCTGCTTTTGTTATCTGGCCATAGTGATTCAGTGTCCAGCATTCTTTAACGTTGAGACCTGTCACTTGTCTTAACTCGTTTCATTACATTGACAGTATGACTCTATTATTCTGCTCACCACTTTTGGTTGAAGTTGCACATTTACAGCCACTCAATTGTTATTTGACTGCAGATAAACACAACATTGTTGGTGGTGATATATTAGGGCGTTGGAATGAACTGTGTTGTGATCCAGACAAATATCTACCCTAGCGATACAGGGGTAAAAGCAAATTAAAGGCAACTGCCTCAGGCAAAGTCTGGTTGTGTACGCCTGTTTATCTTTCAATCTGTGTTGTATGGTTTTTCTTGCTAGGCTCAAATGTAGCCTATTACTCAGAGTAAATTAGCCTCACAAGGAGAGGACAAGCAGTTCAACAACAGTCAGTCATCCTGTTCTCCAGGAGATACTTTTATCTGTACTGCCTCTTGCCTAAAAACCAACATTCAGTTACAAATACAGTTTTCATAAATGGTGGTGTGTTGCTGGTTTGTTTTTAGTTAGTCTCTGATTTCCCCAGCAGTCTGCATTCAAATATTTAACCATATTTTTGTTCAAATGTCATTTAAGTAAGACCTTAAGAAAATTGACACAAAGTCAACAATTTCCTCGAGCTAATGTAAATGTCCAACCAACAAAACAAAATGCTTTCATTTTTCTGTAAATATATCAAATCTTTTAAAATCAACCGTAAGGCATTTTTAGCACCGATGGTTATCCTGTGGATGTGTTTGGTTGTAATATGTGACTGTCTTTGACCTGCAGTATGTTTAACGTGCTCATTTTCTTTCCCATATCCCTATTCCCCACCCACAGCCCAGTGTTTTGATAGTCAGCTATATCGAGTCTGCAAAGGCGGCTACCCAGTTTGGCTTCTACCAGAAAGCAGAATGGAAACCAGACGACTCCATGATAGCTGTGGCGGTAAGTACAGCGATGTTCCTTCTCATCTCACGTTTGACGCACTTTGCCCCATATACTTACACTGTACGTACATTGATATCAGGTCAGCAGAAAGTCTACACATCCTCCGTAGCAGACTGAAAACCCATCTGTTTTAACTGCATCTTGGCCAATGGAAAAAGCATAATTTCCCTCTTCTGTATCTGACACAACATTTGGCTTGTTTGAAGCTAATGCATTAGCATTTGCAATGGTTTGTCTTAGTGAAAGCTAATGTAATTGCAGGATTCTTGCTGTTTCTTTATGGTTGAAAGCACTTATTGTAAGTCGCTTTGGATAAAAGCCTCAGATAAATGTAATGTGATTACTCCAAGAATGCTAAACTTATTGGATTTTCAATCTCTAAACCTCTGACGCTAAGCCAACAGTCGGTGTCGTCGTGTTTTTCCATGTGTGGTTGACTGTCTCCCGTAATCACCCCTTTGTCTCGTCCTCGGTCATCATCTCCTTTATCTTACCTGTTTGTTTTTCTTTTTACTTTCCATGACAGTAATGTCCAATCATCACTTATTGCACGTGGAGCTTCAGTTAGTGGATTGAAGATGCTTTAAGTAATGAACCACTGAAAATAGAATTTGATCCGGATCCTTCAGTTATATTAAACCACGAGAGCAGCTTCCTAACAAATGCAGTGCATCACAATAACATGACACATGCTAGAATGAAAGTGTGGCTGCGCTTCTCTTAACAGCAGAGTTTATCCTATTTTTAGTTTGCAACAGATAAAAGGAAGGTATTCCTCCAGCAATAAGTGCAGGATTGAAAACAACTACCTAAGCGTCCTACATCATGTAACGCTTCACCGTTAATCAAAGTGTCTTCCAATGCAGTGAGCCATGGTGTCACATTAGTGTGCAGTTGCAATTTCCAAATGCTACGAAAAAAGGCAATGTTGAGAAGTACTTCGTATATTATAGGTAAATTAATAAGGGTTTAATGAACAGACCGGCCTATAACATGTTGATATAACATTTGAAAGACACAGTTAAACTTTGCTCCCTATCTGAAATCTGCTGATCGCTATACTTTTGCCTATCTGACTGTGAGTCAATCAACTCAAAGTGAAACCGTTTTTTTTAATAACAGAGCATGATGTTTTGTGTTTAATCACAAATGTATTTACTTTACTATCAAAGTAGCCAGCCAACCTCTTTTAGATTTATAAATAAGGTAGACATCACTCACCTTTGCCCTTGAACCCTGACCTCAGGTTGTGGGCGAGATATTTTTGGAACAGATTACAGCAGTCTGAAAGGATCCTGCTACATCAGCTTTTTTTTGGGGGGACATGGAGCAAGCCTTTTTGTTGTTGTGTGTTTTGCAAATCGATACAAATTCACTCTAATGGGGGGAGGAAACACAGCCTGTGCCCGCCTGAGTAATCATGAGATATCTCCCCAGGTTCTTTCTGCCTGTGATTATACCCCTGCCTTTGTGTAAAGTCGTGGTAGAGACCCACAACCCAAAACAAAATGCAAATGATCAGCCCACGAAGCTCGAAAGATATCATTAAAAAAATTCATGCTCATTTCCATGGAGATAAAATGTTCTCGCCAGCATGTTACTGTATGTAAGCCAAGCCCACACACGATTACTGATGCTAGTATCTCTCCTACACTGTCACGCTTTTCGGATCATCAAACCATCACCTATAACAATATCAAACATGAAATTAAGACGGTATGTTCATAATAATGTCCACTGTAATGTAAGCATTATTTTTTATTTTAGGGCAGTTTTTCAAAGCAAATCAACATGCCTACATTTCTGTGAAGCATTATGCAACACTTTCTATTTTATATTCTGACATCATCACTGTCCTTGTTTCTTACACACAGGTTTCACTTAGTTTGAGAGCACTACCAATATAATATTTAAATAAAATGCCCCAAACAGTGGCCTTGTTCAGGGAGAGACAGCATGTTTGATACACTCTCTGAGCATTGTCCCTGGAAGGTTGCATCGTACATCTTGGTTGGATTTGTTGCTCTTATCTAATTTCAGGATTGAATGTAAATCGTTCCCATCAAGGGTAATCCTCGATAAGAGAATTTAATTGGTGTTAAAGTAATGTCTGAATGCATGCTGAGAGGGGGGATGCTGCATCTGCTGTGTAAAAGGTTTTCATGTAAATAACCAGAAAGCTTATCAGCATAAATGTGTGATATAAGCATTACTCAGCTTTCCAGTGTTGCATCTGGTCTTGTGCATTCGTTTGAGAGAAAATAATGCCCCTCAAAGATGATAACCATCTAGTTTCATTGTTTACCCAAAACAAAGGGTGCAAAGTGTTCGTGCAACTGCTTTGAAAGCACAATACATTCTGGAAAAATGATAGCGCTGAACTTCAAGATACATCAATCGCTGACATTTTTGTGTTCTTGCTACCATTACTCGCTAGCTGAGCAATCGTCACCGTAGATGACTGTGCGAATAAAGTGTCTTGTTGAGTAATCTCACACAAGGCAATGACTCAATCGGCTTCCAAAGGCCATGTGATGTTTAACACATAGGGCGACCGCCAAGACCCAGATCAGAAGCAAACGGCATCAAAACAAAGCACACACGGATTAAAACCATTAGATCACACTGGTAATGCTTTGTGTTTGTGTGCGCTTGTTGTATCTCTGCTTACACATGTGTGGACTCAGTTAGATGCCTGCAGTACTACAGCTTTTGCAGGTAAACATTTGAAAAGTCAACAACAATAGAACCCAGGTAATTTAAAGCAAACAGCTGTGTATTGGTACAATATTGAAATAATATTTAGACATTGTAACTCAGAATGGAAATCTGACCACGTACCTAACAAAACTAATGCTAGGTTTTCTTAACAAAATAATCCCGCAGGATAATATGTCTCAAGAGTATAGTTTTGAATTCATCCACATATTGCAGGACCAGATAATTTCCTGTAGAAGTGTTCTTGGGTTTAGCAGTTTTATCCTGGATAAGCCATATTATTTGGTTTCTTTCATACAGTATCATAACCATATTTAGAATGTGCTGGATCAGAGTTTCTCATTTATTTATTATATAGCCGCTTAATGCAAAACAACCTGTTGATTTGAAGGTTTATTAAAAAGAAGGATGTATCTTGAATAATGCAGCTCTGTATTCAAGAAGTTCAGAATCCCTTTTTTTCTATGTTTCATGAAATACCTTAGAAAAGCGTATTTTGCACCTTTTTGTAAACACTGCCAGGAAATACTGTCAAGGACACACGAGGCTGTTTAGAAGTCAGTCTGGCAGAGGGCTGCAGTGCACACGTTTCTCCCAAAACACCACCACTTGTCCTTGAAGCCACTGCTGAACTCACTGCATCAGGAGAGGGGCTACAACACGCACACACACACACACACACACACACATACACATACACATACATACACACACACACACACTTTTATAATATTTTGTACCATGCTTAGAAATGTCCAGATGATGCCTCAGTTAAGACATGGAGACACTGTCTAATAGATGAGAGTAACAGATGCGTTACTTCCTGGTGAAATTAGGTCCTGCCCAGTTTTGGGGGAAAATAATTCGCTGTCAAGAAGCCCAATTATGATGGTCAGACAGGCAAACTATTAAATAATGTCATTGGACATGGATGACCTGCGTCGATGTATAGTTTAATTTAAATCAATAGGGAAATGATGAATTAGATAGTTTCTTTTACTGTCCTTTTTTCTGTAGTGGAAGTAAAGAAACCGTAACTCGCCATGTGTTTGTTGTTTGAGGTGCAATATATGACTTGGCAGCTTTAAGACATGAAGAAATTATTTTATTTTTGGCAATTCGCTCTGATGCATTGTTTTCCCCCTAAAGTGGGCGGGCCGTACTTTTGCCAGGAAGTGACGTATGTGTTACTCTCATCTCTGGTCTCATGTAAATTGTCAACACAGAAATGGCCGATTGATTAAATAAAGTGACTACTCTGCATAAGGTATTGGAAAATATTACCACAGTGACCTCTTGGTGTCCGTCTGCGCCCCCCCCTCCCTTTCATCCCCACCTCTCCTACTGAGTACACATGAATGAATGCAGTGAATGTGTCTGGAAAAGCAGTAACTCAGGCTCTGCCCCGGGCCAACCATCCAAACACAACAGGGAGCAGGTGGAGGAGCTACAAATAACAGTTCCCTCACTTTCTGGGCTCCAACAACACATAGTTAGATTTTCACTCATGACTGGTGAAAAGTATTTCATTTTAATGATGGGAAGACTGGCCATGCTATGTGTTCTCCCAGTAGTCCTGTGGCATAAATGTGTATCGACTGGAAACACCACCATCGCAACCACAAACTGTATGTGATTTGCAACCGAAATCCCTCTTTATTGCCAACAATGTTGAAGCCCAATGTGAGCTGCAGCTTTAATTCTAATGAAGCTTTCAAATGACTCATTATCCTTGAGTCCCAGATGAATTCAACTTGACAAACCTGTCATCAAACCTGAAATGCCCTTTAGGAGGATGTTATCATATTTTGTTGTGCGTTTCTTTCTCTAAGTTTATTCTTTTTGGCACTTCCTTTCACACACAAAATGTTTATTGCAAGGGCTTGTTCACTTGAGAGCAACAGTTTAGGTGCGAGGGTCTGCATTTGGTTTTTCAAGTCATGAAGTGAGATCTACCGACTAGAAACAGCGCTTTTAACTGCAGTGACTAGTCGTATATCTAAAGGTTGCATTATCTAACTTCCTGAAAAGGGGAAATAAGGAGAGAGTGATATGTAGTTTAAATATTGTGTCCCAAACCAAGCATTCACTATGTTGTTTGCTGTACATTTCCATTTCCATAAACCTAGAGAAATCAGAACAGAGCTCTGTATTCTACTCAAATAAGATTTGAAAAAAAAATTGATGGCCGTCCTTAAAATCTGTTATCTTTTGCGCCTTCAGTGGCTTCAGTCCCTGCAAATAATCCAATGGCTATTACATGTTTTGACTAGCTGCCC